AAAGTTTTTTACATCAATGTATCTTTCGATAAAACTCCCCTGAATAGTTAGTTAGTTAGTTGGTTCTTCTGTTGTTCATAAAGATGAAAAGAACAACAATATTTCTCCTAGTTAGTTTATTTTTTAAAATTTCCCATCATTGATTCAATTAATTTTATTTAATTTTTTTCTCGTTTTACTTGAAAGACTCCGTTCCATTTCACTGCTTATATAAGACATACATATATATATATATATATTCATCCTTTACCCCCCCTTTTTCCCTATGCTCAGTTTTCCAATCCCCCCCCGCCCCCTCGCTTTTCACCTTCCAGTCTCTCCTTGTTACATCGAATTTCATAAGACACACGCACACACACACATATGCGCACATCTTGATAGAGTAACAAGAAGAAGTAATTACAGTCGGGTAGACTACAAGCAAGACTTATTCTTGTTCCGCTACAATGATAAAATTATTCCCTATTCAAGCCTTACTTCACAGTACTCTCCCCTCCCCCACACCCACTAGCCTAACTAGCTATGCTTGTTCTCTCAGCTATTCTTTTTGAGCAGTAAAAGTAATCAATTCCTTTAAGTATCAAGACGAGTGATAGGTTGTAATCGGTGTTGAAGAGCATGGTAGTGTACCGCTTTGTTTATTGACCAGATCCATAGACACCAGGCAATTTGTGTAGTTCAATGTGACACGGAATAGTTGGGGGTGGGGCTGGGTAACATTGTGACATTGTTAGCAGTTCAACAGCCTCAGTCTACCCTTTCCTTTGTAGACAAGTAGGTAGGAAGGCAAGCTGAATGCGAAATGAAATCCTCGCCCTATTTTCCCAGTATTTCCTTGTGTCTGAGCTTCAAAATTCGAAGTATCAATAGCCGTAGTGTTGTTCCTTTCTTCACAGCGTAGGGGTTACTTAACTTTCCCTCTCCTCCCTAATTACTACCTGGCCAAGAGAGGTTAAAGGTTGGGTCGTCTAGGAATCGAAACGAGATCTCTCTGTCTCAAACATTCGGCTGGCAAATACTCAACAGCATTGATCAATTATTGAAAATAAAGTTGTCTCCTGGTTAGACTATCTTCATATGTATATCCTTTTGTCAGTCAAAACAGGTAGCCAGCATTTTATTACTTTTAAGCGCTTAGAGTCACTGATGACAGTCTGATGCGCGTAGCAACTAAAAGTCAAAACATACGCATAAAATGTTTGTATCACTACCAGTTATCTTTGTCTACACAGACCACACTACTGATTGGTGTGAATAACTCTCGACTACTAATACTCCTACCAATCAATAGCATAAAGTGTATAAGTATTATGTTGGAATCCAATGAGATCGGATCGCAGTCACATCATAAACCAATAGGTCAAGAGTATTCACCGATCATTCAATCAATAATCTTATGGACTGATCATGAATTGTAACACATCAGTTGGAAAACCACCACTGAAAACCAACCAAGGAGTATTGGACACCTGTTTCGTCCGTGTTCGAGACTTTTCAGCACTACGCACCTATCACCCCACCGCAAGGAATCGAATCCAAGATGTACAGACTAAAAGACGAGCTTGTTGACTATTCAGCTACTGAGACCGAATTCAGTGGTTGTCGCAGAAACTTTGATAGGGTCAGAGGTGCATATCTTACTGAAGAGTCCCTAAAAAGGATGAAACAGACATCATGTACCCTCTGGTTTTCAATACAGACTCTTTGACTAAAACCGATTCATGATCAAACTTGAGATTCATCAGTTGTTTGAAAACCAACACTTGCAAAATCAATAATCTATTAGATTGGTGTATATAAATTGATTTTATCAATTAAGCTAAACTATGTCTCTCGATTTCTCTCCCTCTCTCTGTCTCTCAATGATCAATAAGTACCGATCATGAATCATGCAGAAAGGTAAAATGAAACACGTGGAGTAAAAGAAAACAAGACAATATGACGAAAGACAAAAAACAGTTTTTCATATTTTCTGTATGTGAGGGAGGGTGGGTGGGTGGTTGTTGGTTGGGGTGGGCATGTATGTAAATGTAGTTTTGTCTAGATGTGTTCATGCATGCGCTTTTTGTTATTTTTGAAAAAAAAACTTGTACATGTGACCTCAGTTCATCTATCTATGTATCTATCTACCTCATTAATCAAATTCCCTCATGTTTTACGTCAGAGAAAGAGAGAGAGAGGGAGAGAGAGAAATATTTGATAGTCTCGTGACACAATGCTCTCTGAGCTGAAACACATACCATATAACATTATGATATATCTATCTGCTTTGTCTCCTTCCTTCTTTCAAGAAATCCACGATATCGATCTAGTTGAAAGCCAACTGTAAGATGTTCAGAAGTACATTTTGAGATCCAAAGACATAACTGAAGAACAGTTATCTCTCATGTTCTATTGGAACACGTTGCCACCCCCACAATCAGGTCATTCCTCAAGTCAGAAACTTTTAAATATTTTAAATACACACACAAGAGTAGATGATGCCATCAGAGGTCATATCTTAATCGATTAAAACAAACCGAACGAGAGAAAATATATGCATGGAAGAGAGATGGGAGTTTTTAGTAGCGCAAGTTTTAAACAGGCCAACAATTTAATAACAATAATAATAATATCTAGAAGTTAATTGGAGGATGGTGACTAGCAATGTAGAATCCAGAATAACGCGCATTTTGTCCTATTTAGGTCTCGTTAGCTAATGGATGTTCCTGCACTCTCCAACGAGTGATAATGTTCCCACCGAGGCTCGAACCCAGTGCCCATAGTTTCGAACGCCTAAGCGTTGTTATCCACTATACCACTTCGGCCTCGAGAACCACCACCCCTTGTGCAACGGGTCATATTGATGATTTAATTCAATTTTAGATTTCCCCCGTCGATTGATTCGACCAAAGTGCTCGGTTTCAGGTTGACATGTCTATCGGCTTCTTGTACAGATGTTTCAACGATGTCTGAGCGTGTAATTCGAAGTTAATTGGTGGATGGTGACTAGCAGTGGAATCCAGGATGCGTATTAATTAATTACGACTCGTTTCACAAGAGGTAGTGGCTCTCTCGTGATCCAAGTGGTCTGGTCGATAACTCTTTGGCGTTTGAAACTATGGGCACTAGGTTGGAGCCTCGGTGGGAACATCATCACTCACTCACTCGGGAATGCAGGTATATCCAGTTGCTGACGAGTCCCAAGTAGGGCGAAATGCGCGTTATTCTGGATTCTACACTGCTTGTCACCATCCACCAGATAACTTTTAATTACATATCCAGACATCGTCGAAGCATCTGCACAAGAAGCCGACAGACATGTCAACCGGAGACCAAGCACTTCGGTGGAATCAATCGACGGGAAACCCTAAAATTGAATTCAATAATAATATTTGCTATGAAGGAAATATGCTGTATTGGTAGTCCCTAGTTTTGTAATGCTCATGTGTATGTAACAGTAGCAGTGTATGCCTCCTTCCCTACCTCCTTACCCACAGACACACACACAGACAGACACACATTAATATACGCAAATATATTCACATATCCATCCATGTATTATCTAGTTAGTATGCCGGTAGTAAGCAATAAATATTATTATTATTGTTATTGTCGAATAACACGTTCCTCTATAAACAAATCATGTGAATGATGGCAATAGAAGTAATAGGAGAGAAATAATTTGTGTAATTTATGTGGGTTATATATGCTGCATATCATGTGATTCCTATCAGTTTTATATGTGTATTGCTGTTGTGTGTGGGTGCAAAGGAAACACATATACACGTCTACAATCCAGTCACCATGTTTATTTTGACGATGTACTTTATGCTCTCTATTCAGTGTTAGTTATCCGGATTGATCAAACTTATTATCTCTACTCACTTATCACACTACACTACACTACACTACACTACACTACACTACACTACACTACACTACACTACACTACACTACACTACACTACACTACACTACACTACACTACACTACACTACACTACACTACACTACACTACACTACACTACACTACACTACACTACACTACACTACACTACACTACACTACACTACACTACACTACACTACACTACACTACACTACACTACACTACACTACACTACACTACACTACACTACACTACACTACACTACACTACACTACACTACACTACACTACACTACACTACACTACACTACACTACACTACACTACACTACACTACACTACACTACACTACACTACACTACACTACACTACACTACACTACACTACACTACACTACACTACACTACACTACACTACACTACACTACACTACACTACACTACACTACACTACACTACACTACACTACACTACACTACACTACACTACACTACACTACACCTACTCACTTCAGGGTTCAAAGTATCATTAGCGCCGGTGTGTGGAGGGGGGTTGATAACCTCACACTGGAAATTCTATTGTTTTCTCTCCCGATTTAATAGAGGCTACCTGAGGTTTTTTGGAGTATGTTGGCTGGGAAGGAAACCCGACCCCCCTCCACCACCCTCCTGTACGTTGTTAGCCAGCATACTTGTAAATAATCCCCTAGAATGATAACACATCTAGTAAGAATACTCAGAATTTTGAGTACAATTCTAATTTGAAGGAAAGCAAATCCCAATACATCTTCTTTTGCAGGGATTTAAATAACCATGAATTAACTTAATTCAGTTAGAGAAGTTGTGTTCAGTGGGGTTCACTAAATTAGGTGTGGAGAGAAGTACTCACCAGTGACACTGCTTAATGATCGTTTTGTAGATCGTGAATTGGTAAAATTTGGATTTCTTCTACCGGCAATTGGATTCCGTCCCAATGGCTGAATGGTATAAGAGGAGTTCGACTTCTAGTCTCAAAGTCCTGGGTGTGGTGGTCGTCGTGATCAAAATTACATTTTGAATCAATTGAAGGATAAATTATGTAATCAGTTTTTCTTCACCCCCTCTATTCTTCTTCTTCTTTTTCTCTTCCACATCAGGCATCCATTATTCCCTCTGTTGGCGCTGATCTTTGAAAAATGTGAATTAGCCACCTGTACACCACGTGATCCAATGTCAGCGGCAGCTGTCGCGGCAGCAGCTTCAGCCTCTGGCAATACAAATCCTGGAAATATGGAAGTATGGTCATCTGAATCATTCAATGAAGATATTATTGTATTTGCTAAAGAGGTGAGTTTTAATCATTGTTTGTGTGTATGTGTGTGTGCATTTAATAGTAGATCTTACGGACCCTGTTGAGATGGTATCCCGATACAGCTACCCTTCATCCCACAGCACCACATCATAGGCTGACCAACCATCCACTTTATTCATTCATTTGTATGGCTGGCGAACAGCGAAGGGTGCGGGAGGAGCTTCTGCATAACATTCTTAGAGTATAGATTCATTCAATCGATCAACTGTCTTCACCACAGTTTCCCTTAGAAACGAAAATTGTCCAAATTGCACATAATCTGATCTGGAATATATGATATATGCTCCTGATTGATTTATTGATTGATATGGTGTAGTTGGTTACTGTTAACGAAATCGCGAATGTCATTCAATTGATTACCAGTTCGGCCAAGCAGCTGGCCAGTCAACATTCAGGTGGTTCGCACTGACTCACATCTGTTTTACCTCGGCTCCAAAATGAGTGCAAAAGGGCAACCGAAGTTCGGATCACTTCTATCTAATTGGTTGGTTGATTGATTTATGTGTATATCATATTATTATTATTATTATTGTTTCTTTTAATTCCTAGAGGAACATAGGGCTTCAGCCGTGCGTCTCCATTGCGTTCGGTTCTCTGCTACAGTCTTCACCTGGCTCCAAGTCTCCCACACGTTTTCATCTCCTCTTTACATGACCTCCTCCAAGTCACCCACCCTCGCATTGACGAACAACTCGCCGCTTCCCATTCAGTCGGGTTCCACTCGAGCAATGGCTAGTCTAGTGATGTCACTTGATGGTTTCCTCAGAGTATGGCCAATCCATCTCCATTTATTCCTGCCTATTTGTTTCATAATCGGTTCCTGCTGAGTTGGTTCGCTCCCAGAGATCCCTGTTGCTGATCTTTTCTGGCTGGCCATCTGAACTTGAGTATTGAGCGAAGACAACTGTTAATGAAGGTCTGTAGTTTGTTTGAGATGCTCTTTATAACGCGCTGGCCAAGTCTCTGATCCGCATAGTAAGTAGCACTGACTTCACATTGGAGTTGAAAATCCGGATCTTATTTCCATTTTCATGCTGAGTGCTGTTGACCTCCACACAGACTTGAGAGTATTGAAAGCTTGTCTTGCTTTTCCGATTCTTGCTTTGATATCCTCATCACTTCTGTCTGCCGGTAGTTGAAACGATGCTTCCCAGGTCGGTTAGTGAAAGAGGTTGTTTCTTTCAGGTTCCTCCCATTCATGCTGATTGTTGTCAGTTGTTGTTGTTGTTGCTGTTGGTGGTGTTGGCCAGGAATCTTCATCACCTCTGTCTTCTCTATGTTCACCTGAAATCCTATCTTCTCCGGATGCTTCTTCTATCGCCAACTGGTTGCTTTTCGCTTGCATATCTTCCAGTTTGTGGGAAATCACACATAAATCATCGGCGAAGTCCAGATCCTCCAAGTACTTTGTGTGAGTCCATTTTATGCCTGTTTCCTCATTGCCCACTGTTTGTCGCATTATCCAAATTACTGCAATCAGGAAAATCATTGGCGATAGTAGGCAGCCAGCTTGTCTTGCTCCTGTCCTCACTTCGAAGGGTTCCGTAAGTTTCTCATTGTGGATTACTTGGCATGCAGCATTGTCGTACAGCTGTTGGATGAGATGTATAATTGTCGGTGGTATTCAACTCCTCAGATTGACTCCTGAACACTCTACAAACCACTGAATATCTCTCTCTCTCCTCTTATAGGAAAACCCCTAAAGAATTCTGGATTGCCAATACCCTTTCTTCACTTGACATTTTATATATAAGACAACAATGGCATAATATATATATCAAGTTGTAGTGTTATTAACTTTGACATTTCATTGTGTGTAATCATCAGTTGGAGATTTGGCATAAAAAAATTTTTTTTCTAAAATGAATTATTTCCATATATTCATAAATGTTTTGTTTTGTATGTTCGATTTTATGTATGATTATGGTCTGTTATCTGGTTCACAGTCGAAAACTGGACCTAGAATATATATTCATTCGCATACATGTATATATATATATATATATATATCTTTCTTAATGTGGCCAAAAATCCTGAAATGGTGAGTGGGAGAGAGAGAGCGATACTCTGAATAAAGCCTGAAAACGATAGATTCATCAGAAGAGAACAACACCTTCTATTCGTCATCTATATCGTTTATATATCTATATGCGTAAAAAATATGTATATGGGTATATTTAAATGACCAAAAGTATCAATTTCCGTGATATATATATATATATATATATATCATTTGCTTCATATTGTACTTACGTTTTAAACATACACACACACAAACGTGTATGTGTGCATTTATATGTATATAGACATGAAGGCATGTATATGATGCATGTAAAGATCAATACACAGACACACACACATATGCACGTGATATGTACGTATATATCGACGTACATCATTGATTGAGGATATATATATATATATATACACATATATTTAAATTTCTGGTCAATATGTAATATTAATATAGATAGATGCTTAGACAGAGGAAGATAAGCAAGTCAAATATAAGATTTAAAAATTAGTTCACATCTGTTTGGTATAAATACACGAAAATATATAACTAAGATATTAATAATAATAATAATAATAATAATAATAATAATAAAACAACAAAAGTTAAACAGATGAGATATAGGCTGCGAGGATGGCTTGGGGGGAGGGCGAATATTGGAGGCGGTAGGGGAAGTGAGGCTAAAGAAAGATCATGTTTGCTTAGTGAAGAAGAATAACGATATATATATATATATATATATATATATATATATATATACATATATATATCTTAGATAAGATAACCAGAAGCCGAACATTTCGATTTCATCGATCAACAGGAAAAACATGATGGGTGCATAAGGGGTGCCCCCCCCCCTTAGCCCAAGTTGTCTAGTAGAAAAGGCTTTGTTTGATGTTCCAAACGAAGGCTATTGAATTCGAGTTTTCAATAGGGATAACATCACAAGTACATTCAGTTGACGAGTCCCATATCGGTCGAAATATGCATTTTGAATGATTCCTCCAAATAAGATAAATATTATATTCCGTTTCTGGGGATTTAGTGTTTTTCTTTGATAAAGTTTCTTTTTTATGGAATGCCAGTCACTATTAGCCATTATTGATCTGAAAATATTGTTGATTTTAAGCCACATCCCCAACAGAGTCATAAGGACCCTAGTTAACCTGCCAGTCTATATATGGCTATTTGGCTGACTCAAACTAACAGACTTCACAGACTTCATGGAATGATGAAAGATTTTGATTTGATCATACCCTAACTCTTACGTCAGCTAACATTGGTCGATGAGGAAGGTGATAGTTTTGAATGTGTCCTAACCATTTCAAGCGATGAGGGTTCATAATCTCATTGACTGTCTACCGTTTTTTAACTAACAACTTCAATATTATTGATTTGTTTTTCCAGTTGAATGATTATCATACTGGCCAGAAATACTCCGTCTTCGCTGATACGTTGACTCTCTCTCTTAGTACAGATGCTTCAACGAAGTCTAAGGACTAACTTGAAGTTATTTCATCTGACAGGGACTAGTGGAGGGGGGATCTAGAGTGCGTATTTCGTCATTTTTGGGACTCGTAAGCTGGATATTGTAGATGGTGTGGTCATCATCACTCACTGAGTACGCGACTGCATCCAACTGACGAGTCCCAAGAATAGGACGAAATTCCCACCTTGGATTCCACTGTTAGACACCGCTACCAATCACAATAACTACCAATCGATATCAAGGTTTAACTAAGCCTAATAGACACTGATTACTACTGGACTAAAGTGATATTTTAATCAATATTTAGTTGTGTGGAAGAACTTCTTTTTTGAAAATCGAAAGAAACTAAACGAAAACTAATTACGAATTATTTTTCCCTTATTTTTTTCTCCTTTTGAATAGTTGGTAAACTCTCAAAAAACTATTCGTACCAGTGATCCTGAATTAGACTCCCTGGTGAGTTTGATATTTACAAGAATTGTTATTATCATTGTTATTATCTTTACTGTTAATATTGTCCACACACTTATCACGTGAACTAATTAAAGTACATTTATGTCTGTATTTGCCCACTTTTCTCCTTCTAATCTATTTTCCCCCTTAGAAAGTACACTTTGTCTTTGTGTCTGTTAAAGGTTTTTGGACTAAACTTCGCTTATTTGGAGCTTGAAGACCAAATAGTATCTCTTAAGCACTGGCATAAAAGATAAATTAGATGATGAGTGACGATTGACGTCTACTGGTACTCTTTAGCTAGCAAGGCGTATTCCCTCGGGGATTTCAGCCTGTCGGAGATATTCAGGTTGACACGATTGATCTCTTGTATGACTGTAATGCATGTTGGTTTGCAGGGATTTGATTGGTTCGAACCCTTGTGCTGGATGCATACTGATGGAGAGTTCCAAACTAGGACGAAACAGCTATCCAGTAATCCTTGCTGGTTTTCCAGTAGTTCTTCAACCAATATCAGCTCAAATATACATATATTGAGTGGTCATTGGGAGGGAGGATAAGGAGTGTCATGCGTCTATTCAGCACCATCGAGGACTATAGCTAGTGCTGATTACTCTACAGTGAAGGGAGAATATTTCAGCAATTATCCAGTTATCATATTGTGGCGAGTGCTACTGATAAGATTTATCAGTAGTATGAAAAGAAATGTTCATCGGCATAAAAAATCATCAGATAGCAGGGAGATAGATTTGATGATGTCAGAGAAAGCAAATGATACAGCCTTGTGGAGATACATGGGAGACAAAGTGAAAGGAGCACAAAGAAACACAATGTACAGGAAGTTCAGAAGTACCACAACACGAAGATCTGTGCGAATGGTGGGTTGAAGATAAGGTATATACAGTTTGGCTATAGAGAGATACCAATTTCCAAATAAACGTCCCTTTACTAAGCCTCCGTCTTCTACCGTTTCAACTGGTGCCCCTGCTTCGAGGATCCCATGCCATAAGGAACTTCTTGCAGGACTTTGAAGCCGTCGCTGAGTTGGTGAGCGTCAAGGATCCGATGGCAAAGGTGGTCATGCTGGAGACGCTGCTGAGAGGTCAAGCAAGGGCGGTGTATGACAGTTTGGAGCGGTAAGGTGGGAAGAAGACTTGGAAGCTGTTATTTCAACGATTGGCGTAGGAGTTCAACAGTAACACTTGCCACAATATGACTTAATCCCAACTAAAATCATTTTTCGATGTCTTAGGCAAGCGAACAACCACAGGAAAATTAGGAACTCAAGTTAATAGAAAATCAGCCCACACAGATCAAATACTCAATTACAACAGCAACAATCCAATAACACACAAAAGGATTGTATAGTAACACTATTCAAGAGGGCCAGGATTCATTGTAGCACTCCAACCTAAAGGTAAATTAAAGAAAGATATCTCATGGACATCTTCCAAAAGAATGGATATCCACAGAGCTTCATCAAAAGACATCCTTCTCCTAAGCCAACCAACCGAATCAAAGGCCCCCAAGGAAAGCACAAGGAAAATCGCCCTACCATATATAAAAGACATCTCAGAAATCACTGCAAAACCCTTTAAACCATTAAGAATCGATGTCGCATACAAACCCAGCTCTGTGTCAACCGAAATACTCAACAGCAAAAGTAGATAAAACCAACATCATCTACAAAATAAATTGTAACAATTGAGAAAAACGCCACATTGACCAAAGTGGACGTCCCCTTCGTCTTCGTATCCATGAGCATAAGCTAGCCGTCAAAAGACATGTTGACATCCACTCCCACAACCATGGACATCAATTCGACTGGGACAACCAATGTTCAAATATTAGACAGAGGGAACAACAAGAATGCTAGAGAATTTCTAGAAGGCTGTCTGGTATTCAAGTGAATCGTCAATCAATAGACACACTGACATAGACAAGATTTACCAATCCCGAAGAAGGAAATCACACGAAGAAAAGTTCAACTTTCAGGTCAAGGAAACAATCAGTACCAATATAAGTAGCCGCCTAGAGGGTGTGAAAACACACAAAAACAACCAATCACGACGTTGAAGGTCACCCACCAGGAAAGATGATGAATAAACTCGTGGAGAAATCTAAAAGCTCACTTAAATTCAAATTGAAGTATGCTCTGAAGATGTTGCCTAGTAGGTGGGGGTGGGGGCAATGAAAGCTTCTTAAATAAACCAACTGCATCAAAAGTTTTCAACCAGTGTTCAACTCTAATCTCACACATAAAGACCCAGTTAGTTAACCATCCATCCATTCATCAATTTGGCGTCTTTCTACATAGAAAACACAAACCGCTTTGTATTCGCGCCTGTTCCACGAATTGTGTGTATATGTGTGTGAATGCATGCGTGCATGTGTGTTTTTTTCAAAGAAAACAAAAAATAATTTCATTACACATTGAAAAATCAGAAAAAACAACAAAAATTAAACAGGATGGATAAATTTGAGAAGTTGTTCATTCAAAAATTGAATTTTGGTGGTGGGTGGAGTTTACACTTGTGAAAATGTCTATCTGTCTGTTTGTCTGAATGTATGTCAAACAAACAAACAAAATAAAGCCGTTTGTGCGTACGTGTACGTGTATATGTGGGGGTGGTATAATGTTCACATCATACTTAGTCGACAATGCATAGTACACACATTGATAGCTGTGAGAATCAAGGTGAGAAAAATGAGAAAAAACCGAGTACCTCGAAGCCGAGACACGGAGAGAGAGAGAGCGGGGGGGGGGTTAAATTTCTCTTGGTCACATTATTTTACACCATTATTTTTAAAAATCTAAATAATAACAGTAATAATCATATAAATTCACAATATTTAAACAATATATTGGCATATCTCAATAAATGTGTGAGTTGTGTGCGTACGTGCATATGTGTGCATGCTTGCGTGCGTGTGTGTGCCTACCTTGGAGGTAATCTGATCCAATGTTTAAAAACTGTGCTACATATATACACAGAGCAGAAACAGCACAAAATCTAGGACAGGATAAGATCATTATGAGGCTATTTTCATCGTTTGTCTTACTGTTTGTTCTCTGTCCCATTCTGTGTATCTCCTCAAAATGCCATACATCATCATTCAGAGTTATATGTGTATGTGTATGTTTGTGTGTGTATAGATGAGTTGTTGTCTTATCTACCCATCTATCTGCCTTGAGATGATTCTGGCTGTCTGGTTTGTTCAGTGTGATATCAATCTTTGTAAAAAAAATTGTTGATTTTTTCTGTTTTTTGCATTTTTCTCTCATTATTTTAACGTTATCTTCATTTATTTCTCTCCCCCACACCCCCACATGCAAACACTCCACACACACATACACAAAAACTCTCCATCCTGTAGATAATTCAAGCGATTCAAGTTCTCCGATTTCATCTTCTCGAAATTGAGAAGGTAAGTAGTGTGTTTGGTGTTTAATTATTTTATATGTCTGCTTTTCTCAGTTTTTCTCCATGTGTATGTGTGCTTGATTCTAGACAACAGTAGGGAGTACTGGAGGGTCCTACTTGAGTACGCATCCATTGAAGTCAGGACCTTCAAGTTGTAAGGCCCACCGATTGATCATTCAGCTATTGGAGGGCGGGGGCGGAATCCAATGGCTGGTACATGAATTCTAACTCCTGCAACTCTTGTACATTTGAAAATTGATGTCACCTGAAGTTGTTCTAGCAATGGGACGTAGTCCAGTAGTGTCCAGAAAGTTGGATGTGAGGCCAGCAACTCGTCTAGCGATGGATGGCCTCATATACATATACTGAAGAGTTCCAAACAGAGACAAAACAACTATCAAGTGCTCCCTGGTTTTTAATGATGGTTCTAGAACTTATTGTCGTATGTAGATCTGAGGTGAAGTCTACTTCCAAAATGGGACTCGAACTCAGGGGATTTATTAATCAGCAAATCAACCAATCGTTAGTATTCTATATGACTGGGTGGTTTAAACTAGCCAATTAACCCCCAGATGATAATTAGTCTGTTTGATCTAAATCAATATCGATCGAGTGATCAATGAATAAATTTTTTTCTAAAAGGATGACAGGGTGGTTGATTTAATCCTTTACTCATTTAACTACTGAAGATGTTTCACTTTTGTGTCAGTCATTTCGGTAACTAACTGCCCACCACCCTCGATTAGTTTACGTTGATCACTTTTCGCATATTGGAAGCAGTTCTGAAATTGACAGTTAACTATTTTGTTACAGAATTTCATCATGAGCTGACATTGGTTAGAGGGAGAACCATTGGAAAACCTGAGAGTACTGAACAGCTGTTCCTTCCTATCTTGGAAGTCTATGCATCCACTGGAAGGGGTTCGAACCCAGGACTCTTCGGTTACAATGACAGCCCATGGAATTCATTGACCGTTGGATCGGGTCCTACTGACTTAATGGTCTACGAGTTCACCCTGTAACCAGAAGGTTCCAAGTTCGAACCCCACTCAGTAGGCGCGTACTGCTGAATAGGAGTCCCAAGCGTTAGGACGAAACAGCTATCCAGTATCCCCAGGTATTCTAATGGTTACCTTTGTAAACAAAGTCAGCTCATGATGAAGTCCTGCAACCAATCAACACTCCCCGCAAACCAACACTTGAACTATTTTGTTATTTGATGTTCAGATTTCTAAATGGTGAAAACCGCTCATTTCGTAATAATTATTCTTCAGTTGAACACAGTTCATCATTAGCATAATGCTCATTTGCTTGGCAAAGGTTCCTGGTTCGATTCCGGGCCGATGTATTCCTAATAAAACTCTTTTGATTGATAACTACAAGTTGAGTTTGGGAAGAGCTTCTCTTTTTAATTATTCTCCTAGTCGTCAACCTGGTAGTTCGACGGTAGGATACTCGCCAACCACGCCACACATGTTCTGGGGTTCGGATCCCAGCTGGTGCACACATTTATCTCAACACTCAGCTGGCTGCAAGCTAGACAAAGGGGGAGGAAGGTTGTGGGAGGAAGGTTGTGGGAGGTGTGTGTGTGACGCTAGCAAACTCACCCCGTAATAAACGAACACCAGTGTTACTGAAACTTCCAGACTCAAGCTTGAAGCCTTACGTTCGACTCTGAAGGTAAAGGATAGCATCATTGAGGCACATTAAGTTAACAAGTGGCAAAATAAAAGATAAGACGGCAGTCAACCTTAAGGGAACTGAAATGAGCAACTTATTTAGTGATATTAAGCAGAGAATAAAATATTGCCAGTCAATTTAGAGATGAATGATATCCACGATGACGACAGTGATATTGTAGACCCAAAGTGACACCAGTGAGTTCATTGAATGTTAGGGGTAAACATCTTGTTCGATTCCTCTCACGATTTGAGTGTTCTTCTTCTCACAAACAAAGGACTACTATTCGTCCTTTGGGTTCCAGGTGGAACATACGGTCTCACCTACACATTTTTTCACATGATCTCCTCTGTGTCATCGCCGGACCTATGGTCATCTCGTCGACTGCCGTTTCGAGCTCCACCCAAGGGTGTTTATTGTTCGATTCATCTCCATTCCCTTGTGAATATTTTGCTAATTAATAGGTTCCTGGTTTCTGTGCGTCGGTGGTACAGCGATTAGGATTCTCGACGACCATGCACGTGGTCCGGGGTTCGATCCCCTGCCACAGACGCACACCTGATATCAATGATCGGCCTGCAAAATTTGGGTTAACGATATCACATGCTGGAAATTCCATACTTGTACCAAAAATACGGTGTGGAATCAAGTTATAATAAAAATAAAAATAAAATAAACAAATAATCATGAGTTTTACTCACATATTGATTGTATTTCTATGTTTGTTTTACAGGTGCATGAACTCTGTGATAATTTTTGTTCTCGTTACATAACCTGTTTACGTGGTAAAATGCCAATAGACTTAGTCATTGAAGATAGAGATTCAGCTGGATCTACAGGTTCAGGGAATAGTCCACAACCAGTGAATTGTTCAGTGAATCAGTCACAAATGAATGCCGCTGCCGCCGCAGCCGCAGCTGGTGGTGGATTACAACATCCAGGATCAAATCATCCTGGTTCAGTAAATATGTTCAATAGTTTAGTTGACGAATCCAGCAGTGGATTGGCTATGCAGCAGCAACAACACCAGCAACAGCAGCAGCATTCTCTCCCACATCCTGGTAGTATGTCGAATTATGCAAATAACCACCCAGGGTTTCGAGGTGATCCAGCGGCAGCATATGCAGCAGTTGCTGCGGCAGCCTCTGTATCTCAAATGGGTGGTTTACTGGGTCTTGGTGGTATGTATCCTTGCTCAAATCTTCCTTCAGCATCATCATCGTCAGCAGCAGCATCATCAAATGCAGCATTTCATTCAATGTTTGGCGGTGATCCACGATATAATCCTAATTCACACAGTTCCCCAGCGCCGGGATTCCCTGACGCTTCGAATTACTACGGCCACCATCAACAGCAACAGCAACAGCATCATCAGTCACATCATCATGGCGGTGCTCACTCCAACTACCACCCTGGTATGTATTCATCAAATCCATCTGGGGGGTTTGGTGGTATGGATCTAGGCGGAGCTGATCTGCTTAGACCACCACATCTTGGTTCACCTTACTCAAGTCATCATCTATCGAATGTATCAGGAAATTTTAATAATAGTAATAATAATAATAGTTCACAAAATTTTAGTGGACATCTGCTAGGCAGTGGACAACATAATGCTTCGAATCTGAGCACATTTGGACAACATCAGCTATCAGCTGATGCGTTGTCATCTTCTTCATCCTCTGGAATGGTTGGACGATCAAAAGTGAGTGAATTTTTTGAAAAAAATACTGTTGATATGGTGATTTATTTTCACTTTTTATCGATTGGTACACTTTTGTGCAAAGCTCCTTGTTGAAACTCTGTCAAACTCTGACAGATGGGATGAGAAAACGTATTAGCTAACAGCCAATTACATTTGTATGCAGTTAGTGATGAGTCATATCCGTTGTGTTAGGCCTAGTGATCAATCTCGGTGTGTGTGTGTAACGGCGTTCAAACTTGTGACCAAGTAGTTGAACTTCAAGAAACGTTTACATCATTGAGCTACATCTCCACAAGCAGGTTAAAGATAGTCGATTGAAGTGAGATTACATTTTCCTACTTTTAGAAATGATTTTTCTCCCTATACTATTTTACTTGTTGCATTGTCATATTTCGCGCCAATATTCAATGTGTTCAATGGACCGAATCAATTGAACATAATATCGAATAAACATCTATGCAGAAGTTTAAGTCAGTATTTTGCTCAAAAAAAGCATTCAACCCCTGTTTCATCCTGTTTTGAGTCTTCTCATCAGTTCCCTCACCGGGTGTCCAGCTCAATCTGTTGACTATTGAACCATTCATTGGTCAGCAGCCAAATGGATGGTTTGGACTGAATTTCCAGTATGTAAGACTAGCAATCCCACCCTCACAGAAAGAAAAAAATCTCAGGACTACCGTTACTGAGGCTCCCAATGCTTAAAGTCCAATTGCTGTATTCCGAATGGGACGGACTGAGAAAAAATATTCCTTCTAAGCACAAATCTTACTGAAAAAATTAGGGGGGATTAAAAATTTTAGTTTTAAGTATCTGATTGACACTCATTTTCTCCAGGTTTAATCACGGAATGATATCTGTTAGAGCAACATTGGAAGCCAGTTGTTTCCTCGCGGTTTCCGACTGTCATCGGCAATATGCACCCACTTCCAGTGTTCTAGCCTAACACTTTCCATCTATACAGGTCAAGCTCGTAAACCATTCAGACACTGGGACCCGATTCAGTGACAAACTGATGAATTGTAAATTCTACTAGTACGTGGTTTTTTGCATGACTGCCACCAGTCAATGAATGTCATGTCAGTGGCGAGTATTTCTCCTCACTCCTCCCGACGTGTTTGTTCAGTAGAATCCACTGCCAGTCTCAACTTCTCACTACTAGTGTAACAGTAGTAAAGGAATGTTCATTTAGAAATTGGTATCTCCATGTAGCCAAATTAAGTATACCCTATAGTTATGATGGAGAAGATTTGTAGCTCAGATGGATGATTTTGATGTGGTTGTGTTCTCTGAGCTAGATGGTTAATTTGCGAAGCTTTCATCACCCTACTAGGTAACATCTTCAGCGCATACTTCAATTTGAAGTGAGCTTTTAGATTTCTTTTAGGTTACTTCAAATTGAAGTATGCGCTGAAGATGTTACCTAGTAGGGTGATGAAAGCTTCGCAAATTAAGTTTGCCCTATCTTCAACGTACCATTTACACAGATCTTCGTGTTCCTCTCACATCTCCCATGTATTTCCAAAATGCTGTATCATTTGCTTTCTCTGACATCAAATGTATCTCCCTGCTATTTGATGATTTTTTATGCCAATGAACGTCTACTGATAAATCTTATCAGTAGTACATACACCACACTAGAACTCCAGGCAATTTAGTCCTGCAATCAATCAGCCACTAGCGAGCACCCGAGTAAATAAGAGAATCATTGAAAACCAACCAACTAAGGAGTACTGGATAGACGTTGTTTCGTCCAAGTTTTGGACTCATCAGCTTGATAATAATTATGCAGTGAATACATTCTTCACATTGAAGCATATTAAAGCATAAAAGAATAATTAAATACACAGTAGAAACAGCAGTAAAAACAACAACACCAACAATAACACCATATCAGTTTCACATAGATTTTTCACTTATTTTGATCGCTAGAAGTAAATGTCACACATGGATACATGCACATATACATACATGCACATACACGTACATGCATGTGTATCTATGTCTGTATGTGTACGTGTTAAGTACTACTACTAATAATTATTATTGTTATTATTATTTAAATATCATTTTTGAAGGATGTTATTATATGATGAATTGATAAATTCACAAGAAACATCAAACCGACCCGCCTACCTCCCCGACCCTTCCCTCTCGATGAAATAGGCGGTAGAATAATAGAATAATAGATTGTATATTAGATATTGATTAATAGTGAAGAGAGAGAGAGAGAGTGGCATTATGGCGAATCATTGTATATACACTCTGTCAGTACCTGGATGCATTACCTCCGCACATAGACACGAATATGAACAGACACACACACACGCACACAAACACAACCTGTTGTATACAAGGAATAATCAATTACCTATCATATTCAAGTGTTGGTTTGTAGGGATTTGATTGATTGGTTACAGGATTGTGAATTGGCAGAAGTTAGAATTCATGGCCTCGCCATTGGATCGGGCCTCAGTGGCTTAATGATCTACGAGCTAGCTCGCCTTGTAACCAGAAGGTTCTGGGTTCGAACCCCTCCCGGTAGGTGCGTACTGATGAAGAGTCCCAGGCACCAGGCCGACGAAACAGTCGGCTGTCCAGTACTCCAGTGCTTGTTTTCCAATGGTTCTCTAACTGATGTCAGCTCATGATGAAATTGTCTATCATTTTGTAGGTATTACAAATAGGTAATACTTCAGTGTGGAAGTTTCTCGTTTCTATGCATATACCCATCGGGTTTCAAACGCCGAAGCTTTGTCTACCAGACCATTTGGGTGCTAACAGCTACCTCCAGTGATGAAACCGGTATCTGTGTTATTATTTCCTCAGACACCATCAAAGCATCCGCACAAGCAACTAGCGTACATGTTAACAGAGGCCAAGCACTTTGGTCCTGATTAATCAACGAGAAAGTTCAAATTGAATTACATAATAATTACTGATACTCGTCGCAGAAGAGGTAGTGACGACCATAGCTCAAGTGGTCTAGTGGAGAACGCTTTGGTGTTTGAAACTATGGGGACTGAGTTCGAGCCTCAGTGGGAACACTGTGACTCACTGACTGATTGGGGAATGCATTGAGTACATCGACTAGTTGATGAGTTGGTCCCATATTTGGGATGCAATACACATTGTTCTGAAGGATTAGTACAAAGAGCCGACATCTCCATCGTGTGACCCAGCAATTCGGTTTAATTAATCAATGGAAAAGTCCAAATTGAACTAAATGTTTCTTTGTGTTCTGAAAGAGGAACACACGACACCGAGCCTAGAGCTTCAGTAGCGATGGAGTGAGATTTCCAGCCTCACACATACACCCAACCTTCTCTTTATTTCCAGGCCTATAATCGCCTAGCAAGCTACCTATTGATGTTAGGGAGTGATTTGGTCGGGAAGTGAATCCGGAGCTTCCATGCATAGCTGGGGAGTATTGTACCATTGAATGCTGTAATGGTAATAATGGTATCTGTTACACTGCTTCAGTTGACTGATTGACTGCAGATTTACTGCAGATAAGGAGATTTCTGAGTATAATCCATCGTCGATCGAATGTTTATTGATAATTATTTATAATACAGTGTCATATAGAGTATATGTGCCTCAATGGATTGTGTGCTCAACATTCACTCAACTTGAAGGTCATATGTTCGAACCTCATTTCAGATATACGTCTGAAAGTAAAAAGAATATTTAAAAAAAAGATGTTAGACTCGATTTGTAAATGACTACTGTTCTTCCCCAACCCAGGAACTATCCACCCACCCAATCTCTTCTGGTTTTCACTGAAACTTCTTTTAAACAATCGTTTAACGTCATCTATTCTAATCTGATTGAGTAATATACCAAAGTATTGTAACAGTAGGAGACAAGGGCCAGGCAACAGATCATTTATTAAGGAAAATCAACACATATTTATAGATTTTAGTGTACATTATTGTAGATTATTGTTAGTAGAAAATACAGTCTTTTGATTGGTTGTTTCTCACAGAAAGTTAACCTTACATCTCTTTGTGGCTGTGTCAGATCATCGATATGCTAACTGTATCCGCCTACGCAAAGCCTTTGTTCTCATCATTTTCTCACCACCAATATTTGGGACATAAACATTGACGTCAATTACTGTCTACCAAGTTTGGCTAGCAGCCAGCTCTCGCCACAAATATACTAAAGTATAACTAATCAAAAGATAACTCTGCTATTCATGACTTAGAATAACATTCAACCGCTATCTTTCTCTAATTACTATTCCCTCACTAATTTCACTTTAGATAGAATAAATAATCAAGTATGCGTTTGTAGGGAGGGATTTGATACGTTGGTTATAGGATTTCATTATGTGCTGATATCGGCTAGTGATCGCGCTATATAGTGAACTGGCAGAAGTTGCAATTCGTTGCGGGTGGTCATTGATTGGATCAGGTCCCAGTGACTTAATGGTATGGTACGAGCTCGCTCGTTTTGTAACCAGAAGGTCCTGGGTTTGAACCCCACACTGTGGATGAGTACTGTTGGAGAATCCCAAGCACTAGGCTGACGAAACAGCTCTCCAGTACTTCATGGCGGTTTTCCAATGGTTCTCTAACCGATTTCAACTCATGAAGAATAAATATTGTTAGTTTAGGAAAGCAGATGGGTCCGAACCCAGGACCTTCCGGTTATAATGGAAGTCCTATAGATTATGCAGCCACTGGAACCTGTCAGTTATAACTCCTATCAATTCATCATTTTAGCGCGACTGGTGGCGAGTATTTTTCCACACTTCCGGTCACGACTTCTCACTAGAACTCCAGGCGACTTGTTCCTGCAGACATCTGATAGGGTTCCAGTGGTCTACAAAGCTTACCTTGTAAGCGGAAGGTCTTGGGTTCGAACCAGTAAGTCTCGCAGATGGAGGGTGAATCAGCCATCCAGTACTCCTTGGCTCTCAGTAATTCCCTAACTCATCACAGATTGTGACGGATCATTAAGAATCATCATCATACTCGACAGCCATGCTCAGTCTT